TCTCCCCCTCCCCCCCCGCCCCCTGCTCCACTCCCTTCCACTCTAAAGATCAATGGAAAAAATATCCTCCAGTGAGGATTAACAAAACAAAACAAAAAAGATTTCCCTCAGAGAAGTCCCACATTGGATGGAAATGGCCATGACAAGGTTGCCGCCACCACCACTATGCTTAGTCCTTGGCTGAGGGCTGCTCGAAAAGAAAGTGACCTCAAACCAAAAACATTGTACTTGCAGCTACTGTTTGGATGTCAGCCAAATTCACTCTTCCTAGGTGATGGATTCTTTCTTGAAGGGAGCACCCCATGGCTACCATACTTGTCCAATGTCACTCAGTTACAGAGTGGAGAAGCTGAGGTCAGAACCCAGGATGGTCTGATTCTGAAATCTGGTACTTTCCAACATGCCATGCTTCCTCCTCCTTGAATACCCACCCACATGTCCACACATCCAACCATCCATTTGTTAGTCAGGACAGATAGCTGCTAGGGCAGGAGGAGGGGAAGGGGATGGGGAAGGGGGAGTTTATCTCACCCACTGAACAAAGAAGTCAGAGTTTTGGGACTTCCCAAGATAAAATAGCCAGGTATTCTCACAAATTGTGAAAGCCACAGCGTGCAAAAGGGGATCTTGAAATCTAGTCTGTTACCCAATATATCCAGCAGGAGAACCTTGAAAACTATAGGGGAGAAAAGTATAAAACCCTTGAACCCCCACCAGGTGGGACGCTCAGACTACCAGAGTTGCTAGCTTGTGCTTTATGCCAAGTGTATTCTTAATGAATTCACTTGCTTTGCTTCCTTAATAAATTTGCTTGCTTTATTTCAACACTGGTTTCTGTCACTCGCCTAAATTCTTTCTCATGAGCATGACAAAAGCCCAGGAGGGGAGAGCCTCCTCCAACTTGGGTGGCTCTCCGGTAACATTCATCTAGGCATGTATTCTTGCCTTTATGCATTCATCCAAATAGTACTTCATCTGCCTATCCACCCACCTGCCTCTCTACCCAGTCATCATTTATTCAGATTATCCTCCAGCTCTCCAAGGCTCTATCCATCCACTGAAGTATTCTCTCATGCACCTGCATTCTTTCATTAATTCATTCTCTCAGATCCCTCTTCCCACATACCCTGAAATCCATCAGTCAATTCAATTTTCCACTTTCCATTGATCCAATCCACTTAATCAACCATTAGTAACAGCTTTCTGTGGCTACTGTAACAAATTCCCACAAACAAAGTGGCTGAAAAACAATGGATATTCCCATTCTGGTGGGCAGGATTTCAACATCAGTTTGTTTTTTATTGATTTTAGAGAGAGGAAGCGGGGGAGAGAGAGAGAGGAACATTGCTATGGGAGGGGAACATCGATCAGTTGCCTCCCGCCCATGTCCTGACTGGGACTCAAACCCACAACCTTTTGGTGTACAGGACGAAGCTCAACCACCTGAGCCACCCAGCCAGGGCTCAACATCAGTTCTGCTGTGCTGAAATAAAGATGTTGGCAGGCCCTGCCCTAAGGACTTCCTGCCTATTCCAGCTCCTGGTGGTTGCCTCGGCTTGTGGCCACATCACCCCAGTCTCTCCTCATTCTTCTCTGTGTGTCTAATCACCTTCTACATCTCTCCCATAAGGTACATGTGGTGTCCTGTAGGGCTCACTGGGGTGATCCAGGATAATGTCCTCCTCTCAAGGTCCCTAACTTAACCACATATTTTGCCATATAAAGTAATATTCACAGGTCCCAGGGATTGGGAGGTGAATATATCTTTGGGGTTATATTGTTCTGTCTACCACATCATCCAATTATACACACACACACACACACACACAGCTCCCCTCTCTCAATCTCTTCATCCACCCAGATTCTGAATGCTAAAAACACACAGTTGAGACCTCAAGACATTTCGAACCCTGGAGGAAGCAAACCTGTAAGGAGACAGTTACAATGGCTGACGTGGTCGAGATTAATTACATTCAGCAAATAAGTAAATATATTGAGCTGATGATCTCTGCTACTCACCACCCCTGCGTTCCCACCCCTTACCACTTCCACATTGGGAAGGGAAATGATGGGAATAGAATGACCCAGTTTTCACTGCCCTTAAATCTTCTGCCCCACAACCTCCCTTCTCACCCCCAATTCATGAACATAGTATATATGTTAATTTATTTAGGTCTGCCTTAAGATCTCTCTTTTTAAAAAAATCTCTCTTTTTAAAATCAATCTTTTATTGATTTTAGAGAGAGAGGAAGTGTGTGTGTGGGGAGAAAGAGAGGAAGAGATCAATGAGAGAGAGAAAAACGCTGGTCATTTGCCTCCCATATGAGCCCCGACTGGGGATCAAACCTACAGCCTGGGTAGGAGCCTTGACTGGGAATCCAACTGGTGACCTCTGGGTTATTTCACTTAGGAAAATGTTTTCAGGGTTCATCTAAGTTGTAGCAGGTGTCAGAATTTCCTTTCCACATTTTGTTTATTCACTTACAAGATGATGGATATTTGGGTTAGTTCCACCTTTTGGCTATTATGACTAATGATGCAGTGAACATTCATGTACAAGTGTTTGTGTGGATATATATTTTCATTTCTCTTGGATATATACCTAGGAGTAAAATTTCTGGGTCATATGGTAACATTTTGAGGAACCTCTGGACTGTTTTCCACTTTACATCCCCACCAGCAATGCATGAGGATTCCAGTTTCTCACATCCTCAACAGGGCTTGGTATTATTCGTCTTTTTTCTTTCTTCTTTTCTTTTTTTTAAGAAAGAGAGAGGAAGGGGAGAGGGAGAGAGAAATGTGGATTTGTTGTTCCACTTTATGCGTTGATTGATTTATTCTTGTATGTGTCCGACCAGGAATCAAACCTACAACCTTGGCATATCTGGATGATGCTCTAACCAACTGAGCTACCCGATCAGTGTTATCTGGATTTTTTATTATAGCTATTTAGGGAGTGTAAACACTAGTATCACATTGTGTTTTTTTAAAAATATGTTTTTATTGATTTTATTTTAGAGGGAGAGGGAGAGAGAGGGAAACATTGATGAGAGAGAGAATCATTGATCGTCTGCCTCCTGCATGACCCTTACTGGGAATGGAGCCAGGAAGCTTGCCATGTGCCCTGACCCAGAATCTAACCGAGCCAGTGACTTCTTGGTGCATGGAAGGAGGCTCAACCAACTGAGCCGCAACAGTC